CCCTAAATAACTTCTAAACAAAAAAATTATCAACCAGCACAAAATTTTGATTGGTTTCTATCTCTTTGTTTGTCTAAAAAATCGATGATGTGATTGTATCAATTTTAAACACCGAAAAATTAGGTAAATCGGCGACATATGCGGATTGCCCTATGACCTTCGACCTTTTAAGTCATGCAGCTGCCCTCCCCCACGCCTCAACCGCCCGTGTTGTTTGCAAATTTCTGCTTTTTAAAGAGATTTTGGGACATAGAAACTCAAATAAAGGGAAAATAAACCACATACGTTATTTCCATGGTAAACATTGCTAGAAAAGACAGGATATAATTTTTTTCCGCCGCGTTGCCGAATTTTGCGGTCACTACATGCTTAATTATGGCGTGGTACGCTAGGGAATGGCTACGGTTTGTTCGTAAAAATTATGTATTGGCACATTTTCTGAGGCAAAAGGGCGAGAAAACTGCACCTCCAGAATTTTTAAAACTTGATTTCATGTAGGATTTCGTTCCTAAGAAGACATTGGCGAGATTGACATTTGTGTAACAAAGCAAGCTGTTTCCACGCCACCAACGAAGGGGAGGGGGGACAGCGATTGCATATACTACCTCATAAATTTCTCAATCTGATTGAGTGTGTGCCAGTGAAAGCACAATATTATTGATTGCCCTTTCTCATATCATCTTAAACTATACTGTTTTACTCTGAATCTATGCCTAATACTCTTACAGTTGTTGATACAAGTACAAGATAGTAAGGATACAAACGATATAAACACATTTTTAAGCTTACCTTTACATCCGGGACCTTGCAGTTTGACACAGCGACATCTTGCGACATGTGATGAAATAGCACCATATTCACAACAATGCCATCTAGCGACAATTTAGTAAAATGGCAAATCCGGCAGGCAGAATGGCCCATGGCCCGTTGTTGCCTGCATCCACGCAAGGACTGTTCTGATCAGTAAACGTTTGCCGCTAAGGCGGCAAACGTAAAAAAGTGGTCGGTTATCAGAATAACCCAGGACCCTTTATTGACATATATGCTTCCTATTCCTTTCACAGTTGAAGGATCTTATGTTCTTCATCTTCATCCTGATCATCTTTATCCTGGCGTATGGGGTAGCAACCCAGTCCATCCTGTATCCCAACGAGAGCAGGGTGGGGACAGTCCTACAGGGCATCTTCCACAAGGCCTACTTCCAGATCTACGGGGAACTGTTCTTGGAAGAAATCATGAGTGAGCTGATATCACTTTCCTGTCAACGATTGCAAGTTTGATTATAAAATCACCATATAATCAATCTTTACTGCACAACAGTTGCCATTGGATACAATATATGGCAAGTTGTTGAACAACAAGTCTAATGTCTACACTACTCTATACATAAGGCCTATCCTCGGTATATGT